ATCTGTAATGAGATCTTGCGCCCTCTTCTGGCCTGCAGGCATACATGCAGACAGGACACTGTATACATAATAAATAAATAAATCTTAAAAAAAAAAAAAAAAAAAAAAGGACAGGTTTCTGTTACCCCAGTCAACCTCTGCTCCATGTCAACTTGACTTGGCCAAACCTGAAACTTCCAGCAGCAGTGACAGCGAGTTACTTTGTTCAAAGAAATAACAATGTCTACAGGAAGATACAAAGAGCAGGAATTTATTTCTCATAGTTCTGCAGGCTGGAAGGCTCCAGTCCGAGCACCAGCAGCCTCAGTGTCCAGTGAAGGCCTGTTTCTGGCCTCTTGAGAAGGTTCTATCACTTTGACCTAATAATATAGGAAGGGCTCATTAGCTGCCCAAACAACAACTTCTACCACTTTCTCATCCTCTTTCTTTTCTTCCTCCTCTTCCTCTTCTTCTTCCTCTTCTTCTTCTTCCTCTTCTTCCTCTTCCTCTCCTTTTCCTCCTCCTCCTTCTTCTTCTGCTAGTCCAGAGAGTAGGCAGACAGTTCACTTGGTAAGGTGCTTGCTACATCTAGGACCGGCTTGTCACCCCCATAAGCTTGTGCACAGGTTTTAATTTAATCCACGCTTTAACAGCCCCACCTCCAAACACGGTCACATCTAAGGTGCTGCAAGTTTAGAATTTCAACATGTGACTTAGGGGATGGGGACACAATTCTACCCCGTACAGTGAGTGTGTTAGACGAGTGTGTAAGATGAGTTAGCAATGACAAGTTCCATTAGTCCGTTATTTGTGTCTACAGTGAAATACCTGATGCCGGGGAGCTTTATGAGGAAAAGAAGGATATTAAGCTCACAGGTCTGGAGGTTCCACAGAACTCATTGCACCAGCGCGGCTAAGGCCTCGTGATGGATTGCACCACAGTGCAGAACAGCACACGAGCGCAGAAGAATGCATGGTAAAACATGCCCTACAGAGACAGGTCTTCTACATGCCTCCAGGAGCTCTACCACTGAACCACACCCCCAGCCCAGCCCCCTAACGGGGTCCTCCCTCAATACTGCCACCCTGAAAACTAGCACATGAATCCTCGGAGGAGAACCCATACCCAATTCAGAGCAATGTGGTATTAACAAGGGTTCTCTCGAAAGAGCAGCACAGACTCTGAGTTCAGCTGCTTTTATTGCCTTGCTTAATCTTTTCCAAGTATCCTTGGTTACAAGCTCTATGACTATGGTTCTGAGAAAGCTATAGACTCTCATCACATGTCAATTTCTTTCACTGTGATAAAACAATAAAATGATAATTACCTATTAAAAAAATAAACCTAGAAAACAAAAGTGAAACCCAAAGGCAGCATTAAAGTCCCAGAGAGGGTGGAAGGCAACAGAGCAGGAAGAGGAAAGCGGGGGAGTTGTGTGCTGTAGGCTTTGGAGAAGAACATGGAAAAGTCACCCGAGAGAGCACTGATAAGCATGCACTGAATGCTAGCCTGAGAAATCGGAAACATTTGCTTTGAAAATGGCAGTTTCCGCTTCATCATGCAATATAATCCTCACTTTTGAACTTCCGAACACCAGTGAAATGCTGTGGGTTTTTATCATTTTCTTAAATTGCCTTGACGATAGCCTAAGAGAAAAATGTCTCCCATTTGTGCCTACTGGTGGCCACCTCAAAGCCCCAGCCCTCCCCCTCATCTTTCCATCTAAATTGGGGACCACCCTGTGGCTGGAAATGGGTGGGGAGCCAATCAGGGGCAGCTAAGTCCTTACCTGCCCTCATCTCCTCCAAGGGTAAGTGGGGCTGGCAGGAGGCATCCTGTAGGCCTCCGCTGTACCAGGCATTTCCTGCTCAGCCCATCTGGAAAGCTTTAGCTGGAGTCCAAACCTCGGATGTCTGAGAGGGCAAGAGGGGATAAATCAAAGCAAAAGGCCCGTAGCAAAGTGACACAAGCTGAGCTGCTTTGTTCAGAGACTAGCAAGAGAACTGAACTGCTGAGCCCTGGTGAAATATCCAAAAGACAAGGCGCACACTCTTAAAAACACACATAAATGTGAGAAAGGAAGGAAGGAAGGAAGGAAGGAAAGAAGAAGAGGACAAGAGGAAGAAACCATGGTTTAGAATGGAAAACAAAGACTTAAGGGTGTTTTCTATGTGTAATCTATGCAAACATCAGGAAGAAGGACAGATAAGGGAATTCCATGCCCCTAAGTCCATCTGTGAGATACTGACATGTGCTTTAGATTTAATGAGGAAAAGTTGTGGCAGAGGCAACAGGTATATAAAATGAAGCAGCCTTGGTTAAAAATGTATCTGGTTATCTCTGGTTTTGGTCATCAAAGTGGTCCAAAGAAGGTGTTATCATTGTCCTCAATTGGGAGGAGCTATGTGGTTCCTATTAGATGACCACTTCTGTTCCAGGGTTCTGTCTCTCCAACAGAGAAAATTTTCTTCATTTGTAGGAGTGTTCTGTCTTACAAGACTTTGAACTTTTTGTAATCTAAGGCTTGTGTAGGTTTAGAACAATGGCTTTTTTTCAAGTCAGGGTTTTGTATTGTCTGTCCTGGAACTAGCTTTGTAGAGCAGGTTGACCTTGAATGAACTCAAGATCTACCTGCTGCTGCCTCCCAAGTGCTGGGATTAAGGGCGTGCGCCACCACTGCCCCATGGCAGAACAATGACTCTTGGCACCTTCAGCACTGAAAGGAAATGACACAAGGTAGGTAATAGGTTTTCTGTCCCCCCAATAATAGGTTTCTCCACTGACACCGTAAGCCAGATCAAGCTGAACTGAAAAAGTAAAACAACAGGTTTATTTGAGCAAAGCAACTACTTCCAGGTGGGTTTTCCAGTCCCAGAGATTGAGGCCAGAGAAGCCACACACCCAAACTAAAGCAGGGAGCTTATATAGGTTGTAGGCGAGGGGTGATGATGTGTCTGCCACAAGCTGGGTTTGTGCGCAAGTGTAGTCAAAAGCTGAATGCTGCAGGAGGGGTCTTGGGCGGCTGGCAACTTCAGAGGAGGAGCTGCCATAGTGGAATGCGGAAGTGGGCTTTTTGGCACCTTCCCTTTGTTTGGAAATTCTCTGAGAGGGCGGGGTTCGGAAAGACAGGAATGGGGCTTCTCAGACGTGCAGGAGTGAACTGGAGGTTCCAATCCAACAACAGTAGGTATTGCCTGTATTGAGGGATATTTCATCACACCATGAACCCTTGAGTCTGCATTAATTAAATAAAACCTTGGGTCAGGAGGCAGAGCCAGCAACTAGTTGACAGAAAGGAGTCATAGAGAGTCAAAGGGATTCTAGAAGACTGACAGAGAGACGCAATGGAAGGACATTCTCTTGCTGGGTCTCCAGGTAAGGAGGAAGGTCAGCTGGTTGTGTCTTGGCCTCTCTGAGCTAACAAGTTTTCATCCCATTATCTGACTCCCAAGTATTTGTTGGTAAAATTGAACAATAGAGACTTAGTTAAAAACAACATTTGGCTGCAGAGGCAGAGATGGTTCCTGCCAGGTGGCTGGTGATTGTAAAGCCCAAGTCAGTAGCTGAAATGGCAGGAGATTCAGGTGCAGCCACTGTGTGGATAACATAGCATACCTACTTTAAAATGGATGCACCTTCGTGATTGACAAGCCCCAATCCCGTTCAGAGTTAAGCAGGAGTCTGATCTGGAACAAAGAAGATACTCAGGAATGAAGACACCCATGCCAGGCTTTCTTTCAGCTTTCGTTACCACGTGGACCCAAGGGAGGCATCAGTGGCTTATAGCAAAAGCAGCTTATTAGTATCTATTATAATTCCTGATGAAATTTTTAAGGGTGAAGTCTTAAGGTGTCTATTGCTTGACATAAAAAATGAACTTGATAATTAATAGTGAATACAGATGTACCAAAGAATCGAAAATGACAAAATACTAATGATTATTGAATCAAGGTGATATTTTCATAATCAAACGCCGGGTAAAAATTCACACACAAAATAGAGTCAGAGATACTATCTGGCTCCAAGCAAATAGAGAGCCTGTGCATTTGTTTCCATTCTGAATCGTGGAAGGCAGCATTTGCGAGGTGGAAGGGAGTGGAGAGATCATTTCTCTAACTTCAGAGTGCTGCAGGGGAGGAGAGCTGGTCCCTGAACACAAAGGTTGTTAAAGAGTCCGGCCCAGCTTCCTTGAGGCTTTGTTCTTCTTCCCAGGAGGAGACTGAACTCGGGAATGAGAAAGACACAGATGCAAAGCCTTCCTGCGCATCATGGGCAAGGCAATTAATGTCACTGAGATGTGTCTTCCTCCTCAGTTAACAAGGACAGTAAGCGATTCTCACATAGCCATGATGAGAATACAGTGAGAAAAACCTGTACCAAAGACTCAGAGGAGATCTGCCACGCTGCCTGGCCTTATTACTGCCCCCCAGGGCCTCGGCAACCTCCCCGTATTTTTCTGCCTCTGTGGCTTTTCCTACAGATAACCTTTTCCGAATCCTCCTCACTGGAGTGTACAGGAGGAATATCATGTAAATGAGCTCCAGCTTCTCCTGGGTTGTTCCGGCTCTGCCATCTGATGGGATCCATGCTGGGCCATTCTGCTGAGGAAAAAAATGTCACCAACAGCTGTTCAGGGGCCACTGCCTTCCAAGCATGACAGAAGGAGGTGGCTGCAGCCCACATTATCATCAAATAAAACCCTGAAGAAATCAGGGGCGTTTAGAAAACAAAATTTTTTTCTTATGCAAATACAAAATATTAGGAAATATAAACCCAGAAAAAAAACCTGACATTTAGTGTACTGTGAGCTACAACCCACACAGGAAGAACCAAAGGCTGCTGGAGTTAAAAATAATTTGTCAAATGTTTAATGAGTGTCAGAAACTAGACGAGGCACTCTGCCTGTGTGTTCACACTTAATCCTGATGACAACCCTTTAAGGGGAACGCCTTCTTCTCACAAGACAGTCTGAAACATAAACAGATTTGGAAGGTCTTTCCTGTGCTTCCCAAAATGGTAGAACATTTGTGTATGTGAGCCAGAATATCTCAGTGCACCGAGTGTTTTATGTCTTCACTTTGGTAATCTCATTCTCCACAGCCCCCCATCAGTGCCTCTCTCCACTGAGTCTGGCTACCTCTCTCCCTTGAAATTCCCATTTTCTCTGATTTTTATGGTTTTTGCCTAAAGCAGTGGTCCTCAACCTTCCTAATGCTCCCTCCAACTTTTTAATACAGTTCCTCATGTTGTGGTGACCACCAACCGTAAAATTATTTTCATTGCGACTTCATAGCTATAATTTTGCTACTGTTGAGAATTGTAATGTCAATATCTGATATGCAGATGGTCTTAGCAGCCCCGGGAAAAGAGTCCTTCGACTCCAAAAGGGGCCTCAGCCCACAGGTTGAGATCCACGGCCTAAGTTATGGCAAGCTGGTTGCCAGACTTTCTTCGTTACCTGACTCAAGTGTCACTTTGGGCGATCTTCCTGGGTTCCTCATGCTGATCTAAGTGTCTTCTTTTGTGGCACCCTACAAGTCCATGCTGAATCTGCGTCAGTTTCGCTTACATCGTAAATTCCTGGACTGGGATTCCCTTTGGTATAGACGTGAGACTCAACTATCTTTGTAAGTCCAACCTCATTGCCCTTCAACATTAGGTCTATAAAGCAGATGGAGGGAGAGTGAGTGAATGAATAAATGGGTGGATGATGGATGGATGGATGGGTGGATGGATGGATGGATGGATGGATGGATGCATGGATGGATGGATGGATGGATGGATGGATGGATGAATATGGAGAATGAAGGTTACCCTGGCTTTACCTTCTGATAACATGAGTTGGAGAGGGATGACCACTACCAGCAATGGTTTGAATAACTGTGAACTACTAATTAGTCACTTTGGCTCCATCAAACAGTGTCTACTCCAAAAATACTTATCTAATGCCTTGTTACTGAATCCAGTAATTGACCCATGCCATGAAAGTCTGTAGCATTACCGATACCTGTTCACCATGTCCGAGCGAAGGGCTGCGGATTAAAAAATAGAGACAAGAGACAGCGAGTCATTCGCCACAACTGAATGCCGAATGCCGTTTATTGAAAGAGGGAAGAAACCTTAAATACAGGCTTACAACACAAATGGAGGATCCCCGGAGGGCAGAAGTTCGCTACCAATGGTCTATATTCTAGGCCCAATGTTCTACATTCTCGCATCTATGTTGTTTACACCACATACAGGATGTAGGAACAAAGAACCTCCGGTAAGCTCTCTGGTGATCCTTAGGTGAGAAGGAGACCGGCAGGGAATCTGAATAGGGAGGACATCTGGTAAAGGTCAGCAAGCAAGGCTGCAGCCACTCACAGTTGGGGGCCAGGGCCCATGGCGCCCACAAAAGTCCATGAACTGGAGACCTGAGTTCTACTCCTTGCTTTCCCTCACATGTTTCTCCATAACTGATTCCTGTGTGACCCTGGACAAGTTAATTTGAATTTGTAATTTGGATAGCATTTTTTAAACTTGGACCCAACCTAATGGGTCAAAGCAAATACTAAATTATGAATTAGAATAAGCAACAAATAAGGGCCCGTGAGATTGCTCAGCAGGTAAAAGGGCCTGACACCAAGCTGGTGACCTGAGTTTGGGCCCTGGGACCACCTGACAGAAAAAGGCAACTTGAATCTACAAGTTGTTCTCTGACCCCATAGGCATTCTCTGGGATAAGTGCCCTCTACCTTCATGCACACAAAATAAATAAAAATGCAATTTAAAAAAGGATAAACAACAAGCCAGAGAACGTATAGAAATTAGTGTTGGATCTTGGCATGTGAAGGGGTCATATGTGGGTGTTTTTCTTACTGTGGATCATAGCGGAAAGCTTAAAACACTTCTCTTTAGAACCTTCCAGCTCTAAAATGCGAGATGTGTAGAATGTTCGCAGCTTCTCTTTTCAAGTTTGAAGTTTAAAATGAGCAGGAAATGATGCTTTGAAGGAAAAAGCGTCCACACCAACATCGAGCAACTTCAGATTCTGCTGACGAGGCAGTTGTGCAGTATTTCCTCAAGACTGTTCACGACAGGGCAAGGACAGGCTCTGCACTTCCGGGCGTCATTCACACTTCCAGGCATCATTCACACTCCCCAGCGTGACATGGTGTCTCGTTCAGTATTTTCATAGGGTAGGGTTGTAGGAAGCCCTTCAGGGCCTCGGTGTCGGTGTCGATGTGCCCGGTGAGCTGAAGTTCCTTGTTAAATGTAGCACATCTTCCAAGGCAAGAAGAAAAGGAGATTGGGGTGATGGGGTTGGGTAAGAGCAGAAGAGGGGGTGGGGTGGTGGCTTAATCAGTAAAGTGCTTGCCACACCTGTATGAGGACCTGAGTCTGGATTCCCATCACTCACACGAAACACCAGTTGTGGAAGCCCAGACCTATAATCTCAGCGGAGGCGGGGGGGGGGGGTGGGGACGGGGACGGGACCCGACTACACAGAAGGAGCTTTGGGCCTTCCATGCCTGCCAGCCAGCTCAGCCAAATTAGCATGCTCCAGGTCCAGAGACCAATCCTGACTCCGATAAGTAAACAAGGTGGAGAGTGACTGAGGAAGTTAGCCAGCATCATCAACCTTGGCCTCCTCGACACACGCCGCACCCCCACCCTCACCATACATACCCAAACAGAGAGAGGAGACAGAGACAGGAGAAGGAAAATTTTAAAAAAGGAGGAAAAAAAGGAATTCATATTTCTCCAAAATCATACTATGTTTCTGTAGATTTTCCCTTCCTGCTGTGTATCATGAGAAATCTAGACCTCCTTAAAGTCCCAATTATTATAAATTAATAGTGTGCTACTAAAATGCACTGAAATGAAGTGCTAGTAGCTCCGCTAAGGTCCTGCGTTTGACTCCCACAAGAAATGCAAGTTCAGATCTTAGCTCTCAAGGTCATAATCCGATCACCATTCAGTGAGTGTTATTTAGCACTTTCCTGTGCCTGGCTGCTTCCCCAGGGCTCTGCTTCCTAAGACAGTGAGTTGGTGTATGGCTTCACCATGCCATGTCAGTTTTGCAGGAACATGAGTATTCAGTCCACAGTGCTCTAGGAACCTCACCGTGGGGGAGTCTGGAGACTCTGCAGCTGCCACATGCTCCTCACTCAATCTGGGAACTAAGGACCTGAGGGTGTCCTCATGAGGAGCACCCTACAGTCATCCTCTTGAGGTCTGGCCCCTTATAACAGCACCCCAGCAGGGCCCACAGTGCACTTTGTTCCCGGGTAAAGACCTGAGAAACTCTTTCTAACCCAGGAAAGGTCAGCTCTTTCTGATTGGGTGGCTCTCCCTCCCTTGTCCCCCAGTCCTCTGCCTGCCGTTATAGT